TAACCGTTGAAGGAACAACATTGAATTATAATTGCAACATGGCTAAACAAACTGCTATGATATATCTATAATTGAGAAAAAGAATTGGGACTTTTGAGCGAATGTCATTTTTTTTTTTAGAGCGCCGCCAATATGTGCTATTTTTCCAGTTTCGGCAGGCATGAAACTTGTGTCGAGCGGACTGAACTTCAATCAATCCTAGAAAACTTCAATTAGAATTTTTAATCAAATAACACTCATTTTAGTGATTGACTAGGTAAGGGCTTCGAAATCCCAGCTTATGAGAAAAATCGAATTTTCGAAGTAAAATCAGTGGTCGGTTCTTACAGAGACAACCTCTTAAACGTTTTCGAAGAACCATTTCAGCCCATGTATGTTTGACAGACTTAGATGATGATTGTTCGCTTGTTGCAGCTGCGTGGGCATAGCAACAAGGTCAAACGGTTACCGGTCATCTCGCCACCAAGCGAAGTTTCCTTGCCACCAGTGATCTAATAAGGCAGTGGATAAAAGAACAAGGAATAATCTCTATATACGACTCGATCTGGTTGGGGGCGAACTCGATCAAGTTGAGTCGATGTGGGGGCGAACTCGGTGGGGGCGAACTCGCCATGGGGTGAAACCGGCGGCTACCATTATTCGTTGACCAGTTTTGTAATTTGGCAGTCATAACAATTTGATAAGCTTGTGTAGACGGCATTAAGCAAGTTATTATTTCTAGTTTGTGTCACAAAAACTGGAATGTTGCATGTTGTGTTTCAGCACCTTTAGCAACATGGATAGCACCTCCTCCTCAGTGGACTCAGACAGATCCAAATGACATTAGGACAGTTGATATGTCAGTGGTAAATGGAAGTACTCAGGTACCTCTGAGGTGGATTTACACTCTGTCATCTGGTTTACTGACATTAACTACATTTTCTGTAAGATTGAATGATGGCAGCTTTGACGACATTGGAACGATATCCGGTGGTAATACGCTAGTATTTAACAAAAGTGAGTACCCAACACGTTTTGATATCAATGGAAGTGAACAAGCCACCTTGATAATAAACAAATTCACTGAAACAGAAGACAAGGTTTACGAGTGCAAGATTACAACGGATTCAAACCAATGGAGTTACAGAATACGAGTCATTGTAACTGGTGAGTCAATGAGTAAAAATTTAATAAATAAAATGTGTCACCTGGAATTATGGTCACTTCGCCCCATGGTCATTTCGCCCCCAGTCACTTCGCCCCCAACCAAAAGTTACTTCGCCCCATAATCGAAGTCACTTTGTTCCATACGAAAGTTACTTCGCTCCATACAGAAGTTACTTCACTCCATATAAGAAATCAGTGAAATTTGTTGTGAACTTTTCGTTTTGATGTTGGAGTTGGACTGATTTTGAACTTACGTCAGTTCAGATTATTAACTAATGCAGCTTCCAGTTGTGTTCACTTATGCTTGGTAACACTAAATATCATTTTGTTCAATTACTTTCCTTGTTAATTCTTATTGTTATCAGCCAGATAGTTTTGCTTACTTGAGTGAGACGACATTCAGTAAATGTCGTCTTACTTTTACCGTGCGTGATTGGTTTAAAACTTTCCATGACAACTGTTGCTGTTATGGCAGCAGACACTGCTGCTCCAGGGTCTGCTGGGTGGTCTTGGGCGCTGGCTGACAACTGAAACTTTACAGGGTGAGAGTCATTGGATGGTTTTCAAAGTTTTTCATATACAATCGGCCATCGATATATCAACAGACTTTGTTTGACTTTGTTGCTATGTAAGTGCTACAAATGAATACTAAACAACGTAGCCTATGAACAGGCTCCCGTTGAGCCCAAACGAAGCGAGGGAGCCTGTAGACGTTCTATTGATGCTGCCGTTCTATGATTCCAGCTCCTGATATCATGATATGATTGGTTAAGTCACTGATTATTGACATCTTTGAGATGAATATTTGACAGATATTTGTAAAATTACGCGACTCCTATGGTTCGTGACAATAGTGCGTTTGCCAGTCTCTTTTAAGTTTCGGTCTCTCAACCTCTCGTTATTTCACAAGTGATTTTGATTTCTGTTATGAGGAGGAATTTTAAGTAGAAGCTAGTGGAGTGGAGCTCTTTGGCAGTGCTATAGCAATTTTTTTTAGAGGTCAAAGGCATGGTTTCCAGACTTTTCACTGCTTGTCGCTTCGCAGAGTTTGACACCTCTATCGTGTGCTTATAATTTCTTTAGGCTCATTTCCGCATTGGAAAATATGTTTTAAGCTCTCTAAGTGTTGGCTCTGGAGGGACAAAGATTAGTTTGAAATATTCTGTGAACATGTTGCTTACTTGCACTCAATATTATGATGCCCGGCCTGGCTATTTGATTAGGCCGATTCGAACTGTTTGCTACTACAGAAAATGTAGCTTCTTGACAGGTCTAATAACCTCATTGACTGATTTGTTACAGGCTAATCATCAAGGGCGGATAGGCACAACAAAAACAAAGTATACAGGCTCCCTGCCCCCACCCCGATCACTTCGCTTGCCAAATTCTTCTGTTTTGCACTAGCCAAAATTTTTTTCCATCCTTGCTGGGAGCCTGTTTGCAGGCTTTAAACAATGCACATAATCAAACAAAGATATTTAGATTCAATCGCACTTTAACTACTCCAAGATCTCAGTCGCTTTTTAAGTCCTTCAACTACAAACATGTTTAACAGAAAGGCTTTTACATGCAATTCAGACTCTTCAGGGTTACAGTTTTTGAAATTTGATCGGCCATCGATCAACAGGGCAAATTACCAACGAGTGCATCAACAACATCGGCATGGCGTGGGGACAGAGAGAGATTAGGGCGAGTGGAACTAACACTTACAAACATGTCATCAAGATCGTATTTATAAATGGGCACTTATGTTATGTTATAAGGCTTAGCATATATACACTTTAATTATATCATGGAGCAAAGTAACTTCTGTATGGAGCAAAGTAACCTTTGTATGGAGTGAAGTGACTTCAATTATTGGGCAAAGTGACTTTTGGCTGGGCGAAGTGACTGGGGACGAAATGACCATGGGGCAAAGTGACCAGAGACCGTCACCTGAGCACCCTCCTGACCACCATTGCCAGTTAGCGAGCTATGGGCAATTATACTAATTAAAG